GGGCTACATTAATTATTGGCAAAAATAATTCTAATAAAAATTAAAACAACTCCAATAGGGGAAAAAAAATGGTTTATTCAACATAAGATCTCTTTCGTCAAAACGTCTGTTAGTTAATAACTTGATTTGTGATAAGCGGATTTATAGTGTCTTACAGAAACTTGACTGCAACAAGATTATGTGAGCATAAATGAGGCAATTCCCTATAGTTATTTACATTTTCACAAACCATGAAAATCTGGCTGAGGAGGAGGAGTAGCAAAAATCTGACTTAATGATTAGTCCAAAGCTAGTTAATAATTACAACTCCGTCTCTCTGTCTCCTCTCAATTTCTACAAAAGCCATTTCTGTGGTTACAGCAAGACAGAAATGCATGCAACAACTCAACTAACCTGAAAACCCAAAACAAACAACATATTTCTGAGCTGGTCTTCTTTATTAATCTACTGCAGTTTTTTTCTTTTTTTCTATATTCTTTTTTTCTTTTTTCTATGTCCGCATTTGAAGTTATTGGGCTTCAGGAGGTAGCACTGCTACAGACTATGGCCTGTTAGAATTCCTACGGTGGTCATCATAAACCTTGTCAAGTATCTGAGACACTTCTCTGCTCTATCTGATGACAGTGTAAACATTCATTACTCAGTGTGGGTGTTGAGAAAGCTGTGAAAGCATTGCTTAAAACCATAAACCGAAGCCAAAACTCCAACAGCTCCAGACAGGTAGTTTCTATGGTACTGAGGCAGAACAAACACTGTTTGAATGGCAGATGGTAGCTAAAGTCTTGGGGTTTCTTTTGGAAAGTGCAATGGATTTTGTAACAATGGTTACCCAGGTCTGACATATGATAATACTCACAAAAAAGCTTTCAATCTAACTAGGTTTTAGTGGTAACCTCAGCATGACTCCACTGTTTCTGCTTTTACACACCTTCATTCGGGGTCCTTTCACTGTTGATGAAGACCCTAGCACAGTTGTTCCTAACCCTTCCTCATGAACCCCTGTTCTGCATGTTTTAGGTGTTTCCTTATTGTATAAGACCAGAAAAAAAAGGATTAAAAGAAGCTCTTAGGAGCCCTAATTTGAATCCTGTTCGCTGGAGGAACAGTAACATATCTTAAATATTCAGGGCAGGGTAGGGGTTCCTGAAAACCAGGGTTTGGAACCACTGCCCTAGCATAATATTATTACATTATGGATGGGATCTGATTTAGTTAGGACTTATTGAGGTTTTCTGGGGTGTATTAAAAAGGCAGTTAGCTCCCTGTTATGCCTTATAGTTTGATAGATCTAATATATTGCCCCTCCCCCCTTCACACCTGACTGGAAACCCCAAAACTGTCCATATCATAGCTTGATTGTGGCATATTTAGAAAACTGGCTCTAGTTATTTATGATGTTAATATGCTTTAACCTTTTACCCCTAACCCTGCTTTATCTAACCACAATGCTACAATCAAAGATGTTGCAGCTATTATGAAGCATTCGATTAAAATCTAGTGATGCATACTTTGAATTTAAGATCTTTCTGCTGCTCTATCATTATCTTCAGCCTTACTGGGAATGCTTCATTGCCTTTAAACCTTACACTGTTAGCTTTGGCACAATTACACAATTCTTTTTTAATAATTTCTTTAACTATGAGGTTACAGCTTTTCTTTGACACTTTGGCAGACAATTTTTTACACGTAAAGCAGCTGTTAAAAATTGTTTTCTTTGCTGTAAAACAAATCCAGTTTACGTTTGCAATTTGGAGTTGTGTGCTCTTCCTCCTCATCCTCCATATATACAGGTTTTGTTGTAAGGAGACTGTGGTGCTGGTTGGTTGGTTTACAAATCATAGTCTTAATTTGACTACTGGTTAAGATTGTGAAGAGTGGAAACCAGGTAATAGTAATTGCACTTTATTGTTCTCACATTGGAGAAATTTACTTCTGCATTTAAGCCATTACCTTGGGGAGCAGTGGGCTGTCATCGTGGGGCCCTCCGTGAGCAGTGTGGGGTTAAGGGTCTTGCTGAGAGTCAGTGCAAGTGGGGCTTAAACTCAGAACCTCAAAATTACAAGCTCTATGCCCTAAACACTAGGCCGCCACATCCCCAAATACAGAAGCAGCCATTCAAAATGGCCCCATCCCGGTCAAACGCCAGCTGAATGGCAGCCCACTTCCCTGGATCCCCTACCACTTCCAGCCACTGGCCTTCTCCTTGGCGTAACATATTTTTTTACCCTGACTCCACCCTTTCACTGAATTACAGGGTCTGACCAGGAGATGACGCTTCTTTTTAGATCTTAATGTCCGCAAACCATAACAAAAAAGAATATTTTAGTACAATGATTGATTTTTAAAAAAGGAATTGTAGGGGACAAGACAGGGACCAGCCAAGAACAAGCCGAAGGCCCATCAAGGAAAGTGGGGAAATGTCAAATGTCAAAGTTTCTACACAAACTACAACTGCTGCTGCTATTCCTCATCCTAAACCCCACAAACATTCAGCAACACTACTATTGCAACCCCACAACCTCACCATGAAACATTTTTTCATTTTTAAGACTGCTGAGGAAACCTATCGTTCATGAACACCTCTCCAAGACCCTGCAAAAAATGTGTTTGTTCTACCTATTATTTTAATTAATTATATAACTCATTGAATTAAATAAATTGGAAATTCATTTTAAGAAACCGATGGTCAGGTCCAGTCATCAAAACTTGATACCCAGGTCACGTTCATTCCTAGACTATAAACTTACACCCAGACCCCAACACCCTGGTCATGCCAATAAACACACTCTGCATTGCACTCTGCTTCCCTAGTCTCAGCAGTCTCTTGACATGGTCACGCCTTCATCAGGAGGATGAACTAAAGGCAGATTTCTACAAGTGTCAGGATGGAAAAAACAAAACAAAATTTAATCCAACCTGACAGCCTGTCAATGTGCTCACGAGAGGCTGATCATGGATCATCAAGTGTGCTACAAGCACTCGCAGGTTTAAGGTACAGAGTTTCCATCCATAATTCATATCAGAGAGTAAACAACCGAATCACTAGCTTAGTTACTGATGTGATCACTGGACAAATTAACTCAAATGGCGATTCTTCCCTGTGCCATGTTAAAAGCATAACCTACTTGGGAGAAAAAATTTTACCTTTGTCTTAAATTTCAAACAAACAGATAACAATGCCACCTTCTGGTCAGGCATTGGAATTTTATTATATTAGTCAGTTTTTCTGTCATTTAAATGAGGACAGAATATATATATATATATATGTGTGTGTGTATATATTTATTTATTTATCTATTAGCACTGTGAATCTAAGTTATTTTATATAAAGTTGGTATGATTTCTAAGCACAGACAAAAGTCTCTGTGTATGTGCATAGACACTCCAACTCACAGCTCTTTATACTGGGGAGTTGATTTACAGCCTCTGAGTTCTGTTTCAGTGCTAATTACACTTACACACAGCCTTAGCTACGAAGCCTCTGGCAGGAAGGTTCAAGAGCCAAAAAAACTCCTGAGTCAGCACGTCAAAGCCCCATCAGATCCGCTTCCCAACAAGTCTGGACTCCCATGACTAATCCTCGCCTCTCATCTCATTTCTGCTCATGAAAAGTACCATGACTCTGATTCCTGATAACTGCACGAGTTACTGTAACAAACATTGGAGTTTGTCTAATTCTGGATTTCATCTGCAACTGGTCTTTTTCTTTTATCACTTAGCATTTATTTATTTTTTTTACAACATTATTCTGAATATGTTTTGCAGATTTCACAGAAACCAAACATCATAAACACTTTTTGATTGTGTGTGTGTACTGGTTTACAGTGTGTTACCTATTTAGGACTGTTTTTGGTGTATTTACTAGCCTTCCGAGAACAAACAGGGCAACCGAATGCTGGTCCTTATGTGGCTGACCCCATTTCTAACCTTAGTATACCTCTGTACCTCAGTTTAGAGGTACAGTATGGTGTCAATTACCTTTAGGTTAAGCTTAGAGTTAGGAATATGGTGATAATGATTAGGGTAAATGTCTGGGTTTAGCATAAATGCAGTAACTAAAAGAATGTAAGTCAATGTAAAGTCCTAATATGGATAGAAATGCAAACTCGTGTGTGTGGGTGTGTTCCAGGTTGGGGAGGCGGTAGAAATCTATAAAAGTATGAAAGCTGTTCTGTAACAAATTAGCTCTGGCGGTCTTAAATCTTGTCCTCTACTGAAGACTGACACAAAGAAAGTAGTCTTTAGAAAATCTCACTGAAGATAACTGATGTTTACTGATGTTCTCCATCCAGTTACTGAGCCAGGAGGGTGTAAAGAGCTGGGAGAGACAAACTCCCCAAAGGAAATTAAGCAGTAACAGCAACTATTGGTTAAAAAATTCAGAGGACATTATTACAAATACACATTATATTGAAATCCCTGTATCTAGTGATAATTCTTTTCTGCCACACATAAAAGTCTGACTTTAACAATCTGCTATATGTAATTTTTCAGGTTTTATCTTTACTCATCTTTGTTGCTTTAAGCAATTTAGGTCATATTCTGTTTCAGAGACGCAAACTGGAGCTTTATGTAGTTTGTTTCTTCACAATCAGAGAAGTAATTGCAGCCATTGCAGCACCTGAATGTGTAGCAAAGCATTAGTCACCATGAGACACAGGATGCCCCCAGGATACAGACCGACATTGTCCTCTAATTCCCGGATTAAGACTCGCATCTTATGAAAAGAGGTTGTTAACAGAAAACTGCAGCTCATAATAAGAGAAAGAATGAAGATTTTTTTTTAGAAAGTAAGAAAAGTTGGGGAGAGTTGGATTTTCTATAGTAAAACAAGGCCAGAGATTTCTAGGAACCTCCAGGCGTGGATTAAAACCAGACAAGTTGAGTTTGAATGCCTGTCTGACAGTTTTGAGTCTGTTTTAAAAAATATGTCTCCTTGGGACATATGCATCGGATTAAAAGCTTGTCTAAGTTGGTTTTCTTTTTTTGTTTCTCTGCAGAGGTACAAGGGACTGAGATTCCACACATTAAGAGACCTTCCCCTGATCTCTGGAGCTGGCAGGAAGTAGCAAAGAGGCAGCACCTGAATGAACTGAAAGCCAGGATGAGAATAAATCCGCATGATGATCGAGTCCAGAGAGAACCACAGGTCAGTACCCCCCTTATTTACCTGGAAGAGCTCACTTTTTTAGCTCATGTAAAACTTCATTTTTCTTTTTTCCTTAAAGTAGCATTTATTATGAGTTTTATATGTGACTGTTTAGGGTCGTTGTAAATGTCATAAGGCAGAGAAATGTTCAACCTAATCAAAGGTCTGGTGAGATGGGTTCAGTTCAACCACACTTTGAAACTGAGCAAAAACTGAAACATGTTGTCTCTGTATGACCAGCTTGTTGTATTTCAACCTTTTCAAAGGAAAAAAACAATACTTAAAATTCTCAGATGAGACAGTGTAAAAGTCCAGAAGGTCCGTTTGATGAAAATGAGCTTCTGCCCAGGGGGCAGCGCTAGATGAGGTCCATATACACTCAGCTCAGTAATGCAAACAATGATGCTTCCACTCTTTTTGTCTCTGACTTGCCTGCATGCAAAACAGCACAAAATAAGAACGAGAGGAAAAATATGTTTGACGAAAGAAAAAGTCAAGATTGTTACAAGCAACAAAAGAGTGAAGGCAATAGGAGGATCTGAGCAACTTGACGAAGGGAGGAATTTCAGATGGATGGCTTCAAGCATGACCGCACTTTGTTGTTGGTGGGTGGGTCCAAGTTCACAGAGTTCTATGTAGCATGTAAGCTCTTGTGTCAGACCTTCAGGTCAGGGCCGACTGTACAGGGCATATATCCCAAGATAATCACAAAGTTCTCAGCCAATCCCACATTGTGGTGCAAAACAAAACACCAGACTGATAACTGTCAGGATTAAAGTTCATACCAACAAAGCCTTGTTATTGCTTAGAAAACATGCACATTAAACCAACAGAACAGGTCCACCCCTTAGTAATGGCCTTTCGTTGGGCTACTCTAAAAAGATTCGAACTCATCGCTAATCCAGACAGTTTGAATTGAAAAGGCTTCCTGGATGGGAAGCGAAACATCTTCAAAATTGGAAAACAAAGTCCAGTGGTTGTCAGTTGTTTTTTTACTTTTTAACTTTTTGGAATGACTATGACCTGGATGACTGAGAATCTTCACCAGCAACCTCAGGTAAAACTATGAAAAGATCCAACTGAGTCAATTCTGATACTCTATTGATAAGATTAAGAGCTACACTGCAAAAAATCGGAATCTAGATAAGTCATTTTTTCTTAAAATAAGTGCATTTGTTCTTGAATTGAGGAGGTAAAAGAGACATTTTGCCAATGGAACAAGACAATTTACATTAGAATAAGAAAACACAATTGCATTGTCTTATTTCAAAAG